TTTCAAACTTTGAACTATTACTTTGTAAAAACTACAAAGTGTTGAAATATTTTTCATCATTCAAGAAATTATAACTTAAATTTAATTTTTTTTGATTTTGGAGTTAACAGTTAAAAATATAAAAGCTTTCGTACTGCAAATTCATGAAAAAAAGTGTGACTTTCCAAACTAGTTGTATAAATTTCTGTTTTTGCCAGGTTCTGAAATTAGACTTTTTTTGAAAAGTGGAAAGTGTGATACTTTAATAAAAAAATTAATTCTGATGATTTTGTAAAAATAGATTTTACTACATATTTTCTTCACGTTCTTGACTTTTTTTCTGACTGACATGTTTTTATAAATAAAAGTATACAGATTTTTACAAAAATGATTTTTTTCGAACTTTGAACTATTACTTTGTAAAAACTACAGTGTTGAAATATTTTTCAATTAAATTTAAATATTCTTAATTTTGGAGTAATCAACCAAAAAAATAGAAGCTTTTGTAAGGAAAAAAAGTAAGATTCCTGTTGTTTGACACAATTATCTCGTTAATCAAACTGAAAATTTATGAAAAAAAGTGTGACTTTCCAAACTAGTTGTGCAAATTTCTATTTTTGACAGGTTCTAAAATTAAACTTTTTTGAAAAGTGAAGATACTTTAATAAAAAAATAATTCTGATAACTTTGTAAAAATGGATTTTACTACATATTATTTTCACGTTCTGTTTTTACAAATATAAAAAACAATACTTAGCATGTGGTACATCAAATATACACATTTTTTTTAAAAAGATTTTTTTTTGAACTTTGTAACAACTAAAAAGTGTTATATTATATTTTTCAACACTGAAGAAATTATATCATAAATTTAAATTTTCTTAATCTTTTGTAAAGAAAAAAAAGTAAGATTCCTGTCGTCTAACACAATAATCTCTTTCTTTGAGAAAAATCCCTTTTGAATCGGAATCTCGCGTAAACCCAGTTTCTATAATTTCGCAAGATCGGTTGACCATGTTCGCATTAAACAAATATCTACACTAGAACCTTTTCATTTACCGGTCACGCGTATCTAGACTTGACCATGACACGCAAAACCCGACTGCAATCTTCTGCATTTAGTAAAATTCCACTTACCGTTGATAATTTTTCAATTTCAGCATCGGAGGCTCCGAGAGAAGCCAGTCCAATTTCCTGCGAGAACTGCGCAAAGCTGGGATCGGCAAGCAGCGGCATGTGTCCCAAAAGCTCATGAATGCAATCCCTGAAACGGCAAAATCACTTAAAATCCCAAGAGACAAGGATTCAATTCGATGAGTAATCCGATTTGCGAGTAAAAAATTAAATATGGGTGATAATCAGGGGCGGACTGGCCAGGGGTGCGAGTTTTACGGGCCCCCAATTATGGTAGGATTATTATGTCAAGAGCTCATTGAAATAATATCAATAATTCTAAATTTGTAAATAAACTTTCGACAATCAGTTTATTTTTTAAATCCAAATAAGGCTAACCTTATTTTTTATAATTTACTTAAAAAATACGTTAATAAATTCTGTACAAAGAAATTTAACGTATTTAAACTATTTTTTGAATTTGCTAAATTTAATTTACAATTAAAATCATTTTTACTTAATTTTTAAATCAACAGAAACTTCCTGTACTTAGACCACTGTTAAATCTGTTTATTTTTTAAATCTAAATATGGGCAACCTTATTTTTTATAATTTACTTAAAAAATACTTTCTGACCGTTGTTTTGAATTATTCTTTTTTATTTTTGTTAATATTTTTTTATAAATCATTTTAGACAAAATTATAAAAAGAGATTTAGCTTGTGATGACATTTATTTGACATAATTACTTCGTCAAGAAAATGAAATTATTGATTTCTACTGTCTTTTAAACAAAAAATTTAAGAATATCATAAACATTGTATTTTGTATATTTTTTTGTTTTTTTTGTGTCACTTTAGTTTTATATTTTAAAAATAAAAAATGGCTAAAATACAAATTTTCAGACACGGCTGAAAAGAGGTGTTTTACTCTGAAATTGTAAATTTTTTGATCCAACATAAAGTGTAATTTTTTTACTATTTCAGTGGAGTGGAGCTTTTAAAAAATAAAAGTAAATTTATGATTATCGCACACTTTATTTTATAGCATTTTTATATGTTACAACAAATATTACTTAACACATAATTTTCTATATCTTACGATCGTGCAGGTGCAACTTTACAATAAAATAAATACTTTAACATGCTTCAATATCACTAAGCATATCTACAAAATTAAATAAAATTAAAACGAGTATTATCGCAGCTAATCGGTGCAACTTTCGAAGTGAGATCACAAGCTACTTGATCACTTGTCTACACTAATCTACGTGTACAGAAATTAATAATTATTAAAAATAATGACAAATTTATACAATGATGTCGATGAAGGGCAGCACCAGTCACCCAGCTACCCATTCATTGATACGACGGCGCTTTCATTTTGTTTATAGCATTTGATAAGTGGAGAACTTCGGTGTTGAGTTGATGAACAAGCGTTTCGAGCTTCTCCACCGAGTCGAGGACTTCCACTCGGCCAGTGTGGGGGTTGTATCTCACTTCGAAAGGGCGCGACATGGCGGACACCCATCGCCGGAATTTGTCCTTCATGTCGTCGAAGCTCTCGGCCACGAAGTAGATGGGTTGGTACTCCTGGTCTTGGTAGGGCTGCACGGCGGTGACGGCCGGCTCGAAGGGCCGCAATTCGGGCTTGTCGCTGAGGGCGTGGAGGAGCTCGCCGTAGGCGCTGAGGAGGCCGGCGCCGTAGGCTTTCACCACGCCGCTCTCTTTGCAAAGACCGAACTCCACGGTGAACCAGTAAACCTGAAACGAAAACGAAAGTCACACACGTGCTCAGAATGGCAACACTGCAACTGAGTTTTTTGGAAAAAAAATCAAAAGAAGAAATTCGCTCGTTGTCATTGGGATTTTGGTGTTTAAAAATTTAATTTCTGCTTTATGGGGCTTAAAAAATTATATTAAAGCAGTGAACCAGTATTAAATTAAAAATTAAATTAAAGTGAACCCGTAAAATTGCAATAAAAACAAAAATCACACACTTGCTCAGAATGGCAACACTGCAACTGAGTTTTTTGGAAAAAAATCAAAAAAAANAAAAAAATTCACTCTTTGTCATTGTGATTTTGGTGTTTAAAAATTTAATTCCTGCTTTATGCTTTAACCAAATTTTCACCGTTTTTTCTTAATGACAGCTGTCAAAGTTGAAATTGAAGAGTTGAAGTAAAAAGTCGGTGTATTAACTTCAAATTTTGAATTTCTATTCGAAATTTGAAATTAATACTCAAGTCTTTTGAGTTTCACTTGTTAAGAAAATATTTACAAAAGCGATGGAGAATCATGGAATTTTACATGTTTTTGGTACACCATATACATTTTTAGTTTTCAAAAATATGCAAAAACCTAGAAAATTGTGTTTTTATTTAATTTTGTCAAAATTAAACCGATACTTAGGCCGTATAAAGTTTTTTTTGAAAACAAAACTTTCCAGAGATACAAATGTAGAAAAAAGTACTTAAACTACAAAACAATAAAAAATAGCTTATTCAGTTGATTAAAAAAACTTGAATTTTTCATTTATTTTGTTCAATAAAACTTAGAAAAGAATAGGTACTTGGATTGTTTCTTCAGTTTAAAATAGGTCGTCAAATGCGAATAGTTTAGGTACTATTTTTTTATTTTGTCGAGAAATTAATTTTTCATAATAAGAAATTTTTTTGACATTTCTTCAAAATTTTTAATACAATTAGGAAAATAAAATTTAGTTATAAGGAATTTGTTTAATGAATTAGCTTAATCTTTGTTAAATACTTTTGTTATTTTTGCAAATTAAAAACGTTATTTATTTAGAAAAATTTAGAAAAACTATGAAATTCTGTAGTTGGGGTAAAGCGGAACTTACATTTTTAGAAAATTTTTAACTTTCCAGGGCTAAAAATGTAGAAAAAAATCACTTAAACTACAAAACAATAATCTTGAAACAATAACTCATTTAGTTGTTTAAAAAATATGAATGTTTTATTCATTTTGTTTAAAAAAACTTAGAAAAGAATACTTAAGATTGTTTTTTCAGTTTGAAAAAAGTAGTTAAATAGAAATTTTTTAACATTTTCTGTTAATGATTAGACAAATTTAATAAAAAAGGGTTTTATTTTTAATGATGCAAAATGTATTACTTTCTTTGTCCAAAAATAGCTATTTTACGGCTAAAGTCTCTAAAATGAGTTCTTTTTGGACTCAATAAAATACGTAAATAGTTATTTTTGCTGTAAAAAGTCTTCATTGACCGAAATTTTTTTCTTTATTATGTTACAAAATAAATAAAATACAAAACAAAAATATGCATCATAACTTGTTACGTTCAATAAATTTGAAGTTTTGAACATTAAAAAAAATATACAGTTATAAAAAATGATGATTGATGAGCTATTATTATTAATAAGTTATTGTATAAGAAAATTTAAAACAAACCTAATTTTTATTTAATTTTTTGTGTAAAGTAGACTGTTATTTATAAGGTCATAAGCCACTTTGATTGCAAATTTAATTGTTTGAAGAACCTTTTTTTTTTAATTAGAAATATTCATTTTTTGAAAATTGACTTTTGACACAAAATCGTACCGAGTAATACTTTTTTAAACGATTTTATTACCCTAGTGTTTATTACAAAGAGCTACAATTTTTTTGTGACATTGTTTGAGTTATTATTTTTGTTTCAATGTTGATCTTTAGGGTAGCACTGTGCAAAAAATGCAAAAAAGTTGTAGTTGTACAAATTTCTATTT